GCCGGCTACTGCCGTCAGCATGCCACTCTTTTATCTTCCTCCTTTCCTATGGCCGTTCCTGTTGCCCTTTGCCGATGTCAACCGAGCCGTAATCCGCCGTCACTTTGGATACCGTGCCTGTTAGGTTGTTGTCCTATTTCGCCTATTCCATCCTCGAGTCTTACGAATGTCCTTTACAGTCTCTCCTCGTCGGCTGCCGTGGAAAGTGTCCTCTCCTTGTTCGGGTAAAGCCTGTCGTCGGTTACTTTTACCGAGGTGCTTTTTTCGTTTTTCTTCGATCAGGTTTACCTTTTGTACGCCGATCCTTTAATTGGACCTTCATTACTTTCACCGATTCCCACTTTTTTGGGGAGGACTTTGTTCAAGTTTATTTTTAAAGTGAGGTGCTAACACTCATTTGGTCGAAATGGATACTTCACTACTGAGTTTTATTATCAGTTCTATGGAACACTTCTGAATAATATCAAGTGCGAGAGTCTCGTATCACCGAGTCAACGGTGCTGATATCACATGGTCCATTAAATGCACATCAAGGTCTATCAAGGTCCTTCATGTCGTCAAGTGCTAATAATTATATCACATAGTCAAATGGACACCAAGGTCTATCAAGGTCCTCCATGTGGTCAAATCGAGCTAACAACTATATCACATGGTCAATCAAATAAGACTTGGTGTCAAGTCAGACACTTAGGTCATGTGACTAAAAAGTCCCTAACAGTTATAAAATCACTCGATCCATTAATAAATGTAAATGGCGAGACTTAAAAGTCATTAGTCTCCTCATCACTAATTTTACGGCAATATAACGAAATTTCTTCGATCGGTGAAATGTGGACATTAAAATGGCGGAAATAGAAGTATCAGTTTTTAAAGAAGTGGATTGAATGTTTGTTCCAGCAGCCGGCCAGCTCGCAGGATCGTGGCAGCGGCTTGGCTGTGGGGCGTCAAGGGGGGCCCGGCAGCGCGGGGGGGCCCGGAGCAGTGGACCAGGCGAGGGACCTAAGTCCCTGCCTCCCCGCGTCTATGGGTGACGCTGCACGACCCACTACCTTACCGTGTAGTCCTCCTGCCGCCCACCATCACGGGCCCCATCATACGCCCCTGCACCAGACCCACTGTGGCACTAACAACAACTGCTACGACGGACCCACCACCCCCTACGATTCCAGGGACTACGACTCTCCTGGAGGTTCGTTACTTTTTCACAATTCACGTGTGAAGCTTAGATGTTTGACTGTTCATGGTATCTCTTTGTTCAATACATGTTTTGACCCTTCTATGGGAGTTCATGATAAGGTGCTGTTAGTTTCATTTTTTATATGTGCAAACTTAGATGTGCATTGTGGTCTAACTGATCAATAGTTATTAACAATTGCGAATATTTTATGAAGGTTAAAAATATAGGTTAGTTGTGGACTTCCAAATTTTCATTTTTTGGAAGGTATATCATTTTTTGATGTCTCTTAATTGTCCAGTGACTCCGTAATTGTCCACAATTGACTGTGTAAATGTCCTTTTGAACTGTTCATTTGAACTGTGCAGTTGAACTGTCCACTTGAACTGTCCTCTTGAACTGTCCATTTGAACTTGTCCACTTGAACTGTCCTCTTGAACTGTCCATTTGAACTGTCCACTTGAACTGTCTACTTGAACTGTTCAGTTGAACTGTTCACTTGAACTGTCCACTTGAACTGTCCAGTTGAATTGCCCAGTTGAACTGTTCACTTGATCTGTTCACTCGAACTGTCCAGTTGAACTGTTCACTTCAACTGTCCACTTGAACTGTCCAGTTGAATTGCCCAGTTGAACTGTTTACTTGATCTGTTCACTTGAACTGTCCAGTTGAATTGCCCAGTTGAACTGTTCACCTGAACTGTCCAGTTGAATTGCCCAGTTGAACTGTTTACTTGATCTGTTCACTTGAACTGCCCAGTTAAACTGTTCATTTGAACTGTCCAGTTGAATGTCCTCTTGAACTGTTCACTTGAACTACCCTCCCGAATTGTCCATTTGAACTGTTCACTTGAACTGTTCACTTGAACTGTTCACTTGAACTGTCCTCTTGAACTGTTCACTTGAACCATCCACTTAAACAGTCCTCCTAAACCATCAATACTGTCCCAATAACAAAACAAAATTTATGCAAAATACAAGGTGTTTATCAAGGTTGTAATATAATGTATATGTGACGCAGGTGGGCAAGAATACAGAAACAACAACAACAACAACAGCAATTTCGAGAACCCGAGCGATCTGAGCATGCCGCCACAAACGACTCACCATCACCACCACCATCACCACCATCACCACTCCCATCTGCACCCGCAGACTCACTCGCAAGAACAACAGACCTCGGAACATTTGCACGCCATCCCTAAACTGGAACCGCCACCCACCCCTCCGGCACAGTCCGAGGATGTTCCAGGGGTTGTTTGCGCCGGATGCGGCCTCCGGATATCCGACAGGTTTTACCTGCAGGCAGTCGATAGGAGGTGGCATGCGGCTTGTCTTCAGTGCTCGCACTGTCGCCAGGGGCTGGACGGCGAGGTTACTTGCTTTAGCAGGGACGGAAACATTTACTGCAAGAAGGACTACTATCGGTGAGTCACATATGTTATCTTGATTAATTGTATAGGGTTGCTGTAGGGTTACTAGGGTTATAGGGTTATTAGGGAGTTACCTCTCCTTATATTGCCGTGGATGTCACATCAACAAATTCTTATGGAGCCCATTTGTTAAACCAAAATTGTGTTCACAATACCTAATAGGTAATACTGAATAGTATAAAGTATTTAAATATCTGATGACAGTTGCCTCTTCTTATATTGCCGAGGATGTCATATCAACAAGTTCTTGTAGAACATATTTGTTAAACCAAAATTGTGTTCACAATACCTAATAGATAATACTGAATAGTATAAAGTATCTAAATATCTGATGAGAGTTGCCTCTCCTTATATTGCCGAGGATATCATATCAATAAGTTCTTGTAGAACCTATTTGTTTAACTAAAATTCTGTTCACAATACCTAATAGATAATACTGAATAGTATAAAGTATTTAAATATCTGATGACAGTTGCCTCTTCTTATATTGCCGAGGATGTCATATCAACAAGTTCTTGTAGAACCTATTTGTTTAACCAAAATTCTGTTCACAATACTCAATAGATAATACAGAATAGTATAAAGTATCAAAACCCCCCATGATAGTTGTCTCTCCTTATATCGCCGTTGATGTCTAATCAAAAAATTCTTGTAGAATCTATCTACTTAACCAAAATTATATTCACAATACTTAATAGATAATACCGAATAGTATAAAGTATCAAAATCTCCCATGACAGTTGCCTCTCCTTATATTGCCGTGGACATCATATCAACAAACTCTTATACAACCTACTTATTTAACCAAAATTCTGTTCACAATAGACAATACAGAATAGTACAAAGTATCTAAATATCCAATGACAGTTCCCTCTCCCTATATTGCAATATACAAGTTTCTGATTCCTATCACTCTATCGTGCACGAGGAAACAATGAATCTTCATGTGGCCAGCTGATAATATCCCGTGTTAAAGCAATTAAACAAAACCGCAATGTAAAGTGTCTCCAGCGTTTATCGGCCATACTGAACGAGGATATCCGTGGTTTTGTGGTTGAACTTTACGTCGTTAGAACCGCTGTATCTGCATAACCTTGGCGATTTTCATTATCGAATTACACCTACATATCTTCGGTTACCATTTTAATTATGACTCGGTTGAACTATCGAGTAAATTTTGTTGTTCGACAATGAGATGTTTCTTTGGATTTTATACAAATTCTCTTTGGATTTGATGTAAGTTCTTTTTGGATTTGATGTAAGTTATCTTTGGATTTGATATGAGGTCTCTTTGGATTTGATATAAGTTCTCTTTGGATTTGATATAACGTCTCTTTGGATTTGATATGAGTTCTCTTTGGATTTGATATAAGTTCTCTTTGGATTTGATATGAGGTCTCTTTGGATTTGACATAAGTTCTCTTCAGATTTGATATGAGTTCTCTTTGGATTTGACATAAGTTCTCTTTGGATTTGATATGAGGTCTCTTTGGATTTGATATAAGTTCTCTTTGGGTTTGATATAAGGTCTCTTTGGGTTTGATATAAGGTCTCTTTGGATTTGATATAAGTTCTCCTTGGATTCCATACAAGTTCTCTTCGGATTTGATATAAGTTCTCTTTGGATTTAATATAAGTTCTCTTTGGATTCAATATAAATTCTCTTCGCCAATAAAACAATTTAAAAACTAACCTAAAAACACTCGAAACCTAACGAAAATATGAAAGTTTACAACTCCACCTTTGAGGTTATGTTCGAACCCGAAACCCAACATAAAAATGATACACTTCACAGATGTTGAATGATCGCAAATGAATTTGATTATTTGTATTACTAACCCAAAGGTTTCTTCTGTTCGTTTAACGAGGTATTATAAAACGTAGATTCCTAACCGGTCAGCGATGCTAAACGCGACTATTATACCTCGCTAGCAGGATGATCAACATCCTCATCGATCATTAGAAGCAGGAAAACGCTTACTAGAGCGATCATCATCCTCTGTTAGACCTTTCCCTAGATTTCTACATCGGTGATTCCTCGATTAATCAACTTTCCCCGAGGTTATGGGCGATCAAGTAACCGTAATGAGTTACGCAACACTTTGATTTCCAGTGGCCAGGAAAAAAAACGGGATCGCTGGCTGCTTAGCAGGCGTACCACTTCTGGGATTCCCCTTTTTATGGCGCGTTCTCATGAAACTGAGTCGTCGCGTTTAATTATGGACTTTCGAAGTTAGAATTAGGTATCGAATTTTCTAGTTTTTGTGTGGATTTCTTAGTTATTAAAAATGATTTACATTAAATTTACATTGAATTTACATTCAATTTACATTTAAAATTTATATTTTGAAATTGATTTATAAATTTTTGGATGTTTAAATTGCTTAATTTTTGAATACCTAAATCTTGAACTTCTAATAGTTATATCTTTTAAATTATTACATTTTACAATATCCTATAGCCGCCATCTTTTGCAGTTCCAAACTTATCAACTTAACAAATTTCCTATACAAAAGTCCCTAGATTCTCAGACTTCCAAATGAAAAAAATTGTAAATTTTTAAATTCCTAAAGTCCCAATCTATCAAGACTATAAAACCACTAAAATTTCTAAAATTCTAACACTTCACAAAATTTCCTAAATTCCAAAAATTCACAAAATTCTAAAAATTCCCTAAATTTCAAAAATTCCTAAAATTTTCCAAGTCTCAGTTCTTCAAATCCCTAAAGCCTCATATCTTCTATTTTCCACTTTCTTAAATTCCCAACTTATTAACTGAATAAATTCCCCATACAAAAGTCCCTAGATCCTCAACCTTCTAGAATAAAATTTTTGTAAATTTTTAAATATCTAAATTCTCAATCTCTCAAGACTATAAAACCACTAAAATTTCTAAAATTCTAACACTTCACAAAATTCACTAGATTCTAAAAATTCACAAAATTCTAAAAATTCACAAAATTCCAAAAATTCCTAAAATTTTCCAAGTCTCAGTTCTTCAAATCCCTAAAGCCTCATATCTTCTATTTTCCACTTTCTTAAATTCCCAACTTATTAACTGAATAAATTCCCCATACAAAAGTCCCTAGATCCTCAACTTTCTAGAATAAAATTTTTGTAAATTTTTAAATATCTAAATTCTCAATCTTCCAAAACCATAAAAGCACTAAAATTTCTAAAATTCTAAAACTTCACAAAATTCCCTAAATTCTAAAAATTCACAAAATTCTAAAAATTCCCTAAATTCCAAAAATTCCTTAAATTTTCCAAGTCTCAGTTCTTCAAATTCCTAAAGCCTCATATCTTCTATTTTCCACCTTCTTAAATTCCTAACATGTTAACTCAATACATTCCCCACACAAAAGTCCCTAGATCTTCGAACTTCCAGAATAAAAAATTTTTTAATTTTTAAATATCTTAATTTTCAATTTCTCAAGACCATAAATCACAAAAATTCCAATAATTCTAAAAATTTGCAAAATTCCTAAAATTTCCCAAATTCCCCAAATTCCCCAAATTCTCAAAATTCTCAAAATTCTCAAAATTCTCAAAATTCTCAAAATTTTCAAAATTCCCAAAATTCCCAAAATCCTTAAAATCTCCCAAATCTCCAAAATCCCCCAAAACCCCAAAATCCCTAAAATCCCCAAAATTCTCAAATCTTGAAATCCCTAAAGTCCCACCTCCTCTAATCTCCACCTCCGCAAAATTCCCAAATTTCCCAACTTTCCAACTCAATAAA